AAAAATTTTAGGATTAGTTAGCCACAGATGTAGTTTACGATGCCTTTTTAATATAAGCTTAAAAAAATATAAAAATTTTTCAAGGGAAAATAATTTTTTTTAACTCTAAGTCAAACCTTCTAGAATCACGTAAGTTGTTTTAATAAAATGCCACGGATACGTATTATATAAACTATGACGAAAAAGAGTCAGCACCGGATTAAGGTAAGACTCTGGGGTTCTGCCTTGGGGGTCTACTACATCTAATTTCCAGTTTTAAAGGTCCACCTTGCTTGCCATTCTTAGGAGAGAAGGTTGTAAATACTCAAACTTTCTTAGTCCGCTGGGAAATCGTAAGAGATATGTTTTAGATTACGTTGGCAGAACAAAGGCAGAGAAAGTGCTCGATGCCCTAGATGTTATATGAGGGGCAGAACCCACGTTCTCCATAAACAAATTTTCAGTTGAGATAGGGCTTTCTTCAACCAAATTCAGAAGTAGGGCGTTTTCGAACCGCCGATATGTTCGTATGTAAAACCTGTAGTTGTTTTGTTCAATGCAAACAGATCTGAGCCATTATGAGGACGAAACAGCCCATAGTATCTAGATTTTTGCATAGAATCATTTGAGCAAACCGGAACTTATTGCAAGAACCACAGAGGGAACTTCAGAAGCTTTGCTTTTCATTTTACATTTAAACTTGCTTTTGTTCAGCCTCTGTCACCATACTGTGAGCCCGAAGAAAATAATAAACTTTATGTCAGATATTTACAGCTGATGCACTATATGTGTCTGTAAGGCTGATCTTTTGCCCGTACCCTTTTTAGTATGTAGTACGGTTTCTTTAAAGCTCCCTTACCGAAATATGGTCACCCTAAACATATCCCTTTTAATGGGCGTACTCGAAATCGGGTAACATGTCGTATGAGTAACTTTGTTTAATTACTGCAATAATATTCCATTCTGCATTTCGCGGCTAATTAATTTCAATTTGCCTTTTTACAAAACGCTCTACACTCTATATTTTTGGAAAATAGCTGAGCATTGCGTATCATTAAGCATAATTAATATGCAAAGCAGGCATGCAGCTAGCGCCCACACACAAGCGCCGTTATATGGATAGCGCGAGTGAAAGCATGCATACACAACTACATACATATGTATACATATTTATGTATGTATGCGCATATGCAATTCAATCAATCAACAGCCCAATTAGGGCCGAAGCTAATGTGTATGCTTTAATTAAATTAGGCCGAAAGCAATAAAAGCAACAAAACTAATAGAGAATAACAACAAGAATAAGTAGATATGGATGTGAATGAAAATAACAAAATCAAATGGAATAGTACATAGCACATTACAAGTAAGATGTATTTGTGTAGGTGAGCGCATATAATTAATTTCAATTACATGGATTATAATAGTTATTGGTATTTTACAAAATTTTCTTTTTCAACACAGCTATATGCTCGATGAGCAGAATGTGTGTGTGTGTGTGTGTGTGCATACATATATATATATTCGTTGACAAATTGTGGTTTTGCATTTAATTCAATTTATTTTTGTTTTGCCAGTCAATTGCGTCCCACAATAATTAACACATATTTATAGGCGCTGCGTTACTCTGCCGCTGCAGGTGTGTGTTTGTATGTGTGTGTGTGGACTTTATGTTGTCATTTTTATGCACTTATCATTTTCGTTAAACTAATTCACGCCAGTTGACATTTGTGGTGCATTTGACAATTAGCTGCTGCGTGGCCAGCTGGATTTTCACACACACACACACACACACACACACACACACACACACACACACACATGTATATACATATGTGTACTTGCACGTGTGCACTCGCACACATTTGGCGGCTTTTGTTTACACTCTAACGGTTAAGCGATTTACAAATATTAGCATTGCTGATTGCTGACGCATGAGTGGGCAAAGCTGCTCGCGGCTTGATTTCGGCTGGACAAAATAAACGTCAATAAATTGGGTAAATTTGTCAAAGAATTTACAAAAATTAATAATCGTTAGAAATTAGCTGCCAAGAGGAATAATTAGCTGTGGAAATCCATACATACAAATATATGTATGTATGTACAAATGTATGAATACATTTTATTGCTGTCAATTATGTAGTATATATGTATGCTCATGCTATTAGATCTTTGCAAAAAACATGATTAATTTTTCATCCTAATCGACATATTTATTGATGATTTTTAATTTATTATTGCTTAGTATGAAAAATTGACATAGAACAATAAAATACAGCTTAGTGGTAATGAAATTTGAAATAAATAAATGTTAGCAAAAAGCTATTAAGTGAAGTGAAAAAGAAAAATATTCAGTAATGAAAATTTTCAATAAGTAATGAAAATTAAATTTGCATTTTGTGACGGAAATAGTATTATGACTAATTAAAGCTCTTTATGGATCGTATCCATGGCACAGGTTAGCCAGCTTTGGTTAATTGGCAACATTTTTCAATGTTTGTTTTTGTTAAAATTATTAATATTTACTTTTGTGCAACAGTCAAAATTATTTTATTGATTTCTAAATTATTCTTTAAGTGATATTTTACCATTACACTATGGGTAAAGTTCCAACGTTTGTTAGCTGAAACCTCAAACAGATTAAAAAATTAAGCCCACTGAAGGCTAAAAGATTAATATGATGAAAAGTAAGTAGAGTGACGATTTCAAAATTGTTGAAGCCCACAATCATTGGAGCGAAATAAGGAGCATTGGCTCAGGGCTGTAGTTAAAGAGCTACGGTAGCGCGCATAACGAAATTAATTACTCAAAAAAGAAAATGCAAATAAAATTTCACAGAGCTGGTATTTTTTATGTAATACTAACCCAAAAAGGAACTAAATTAAATAACTTCTTTTTATTTTTAAAATAATATATAGGTATATTTTAGTTCATAAAATTTCTTTTTTTTTTCTTTATTTTTGTTATTTATAAGTATTGATTATGTTTTGAAAAAAAGTACATGGAGTCAGCTCTCCGAATCCGAATTGGATTTTTCTGATTCTTCTGGATAATCCAAAAGGAGATTCTATGCTTCCCTGCCAAAAAAAAGTGCTTTTGTGGAGTTATTTGACGAGGTTTTGCACAAACATGTTATGACTGGATCCGAAGAGACTAATAAGTAACGAGTTCATCAGATCCTCCATCGTATTTCAACCTTTGCGAAAATTAGGGCCGCGCCTTTGAGAACTACTCTCGCTGCCGCGACCGGAACTCTGCGAAGCTCTTCTGGGCACGAAACTAGTTCGGCTGGTTCAATCAAGTTTTTGCTGCAAGCACAAAAGGCTGTATGTGCAGACATGATAATGCTAACACTATTAGTTAAATGACAACTTTTATTCGTATTTCATGCCTATAACTATTACACACAAACTTATTAATAGAGTTGCCATACAAAATTAAAATGGAAATTTTAGCTAAAAATGGTGTAGTTTTACCCATAGTGCAATGGAAAAAACTCTATGCAAAAAAAAAATGCGGGACTTGCTGATTTTCAATTTAAACTATACATACTTTTTTAAGTATTAAATTTCACTTTCATTCTGAGTTTTTTTCAAACAAGATCATTTTTTACTCTGACATATTTACGGCTCAATAATTTTATTTACATTTAAAATAGTAAATCAAATGCGACTACTACTACAAACTCTTAAAAAATGTGAAACCTCTGTACGTTATTTTCAATAATTTTACTTTTGTCAAAACTTTTATTTTTGAGTTCTGCTACCTCTTATTAAGAAATTTTACTTTCAGAAGTCGGCGAAACCATATCCTTCGGATAGTCTTGGTTGTATATAGAAAAGTTATTTTCAGGTTTCTCAGGTGTGCTGGTTTTAGTTTATTTTTCAACTTGAAGTGACTGGTCCCTAAAAACAAAAAAATATTTGCGACCACCAACTTCAAAAAAAGACGCTTTAAATCGCCAACCTGGGAAAAGTTTTATTTTTGCTTTTCTACATACTAACCAGACTTTCAGAAAAACTAATTGTCATCAATTTTCCACAAAAAAAAATGAAATTATACTGCAGGATTATGAGTAAAAACCGTTAATTTCATTAACTCACCTTAGGCGATGGTACCACCGAAAACGTATTCATAATCCTATCAGGATACTCCTCACGTATTTTGGATATGAGTAGTGTGCCTAGGCCAGAGCCAGTACCGCCACCTAACGAGTGTGCTAATTGAAAGCCTTGCAGGCAATCACAGCCCTCGGCCTCCCTGCGCAGTACGTCTAGCACAGATTCGATGAGTTCGGCGCCTTCTGTGTAATGACCCTTGGCCCAGTTATTACCTGGAATGTAGGAAAAGGAAAATGTGAAATAAGTAAGTTTTAAAATAATACTACTTCTCTCAAAAAAATATAAGTTGTAGATACAGTAGAAGAAATATTAATAGGGAAGAGACATTTTAGCGATTGTTTGGCGATTATTTAATGTTTATTACTTTTTTATGAAAGGGGAAAAAAAATAAAAAAAAATTCTGTACATACTTTGTATGGAAGGACAGAGACCCAAAATAATTATTATCCTAATATGTGAGATCAAAAGCATCGCATTGTTTTAAGATACATTTTTTTCGTCTTTGTGCCTCTAATAATTATTTACGAGAAATATCTTTTTTCGTCTCTTGAGACGATTTTTTTCAAATGCAAATAATTTATGTCTTTTCATAATAATTATATGGGACTTTTATTTTTTTCGTCTCGGGACATTTATTTCAAGACGACAATGATTTACGTCCAACGTTTTCTCTTAATATAATCGGTACATGTGCTGCCAGTTTCACGAAATTAAACGCAAATATCTCCGAGCTCGATTATTGGAATTTAATTTGTTAACATCTGACAACCCTTTCCAAAAAACTAAAACCACGAAAAAGAAAAGTCCTTTAATTTGACACCACATTTTTGAACATCGAGCGAACGATACAGATTTGATGACATTTGATGGCATCAAATCTCCGAACTCAAATAAAAAGTTTCATTTGAAAAAGTTCCATATGATTATTGAAAGGAGACGTAAACCATTTCCGTCTTGAAATAAACGTCAGGAGAGACAAAAAAAAAAAATAAAAATCCCACATAATTATTATGAGAAGACGAATATAATTTACATCTTAAAATAATCGTCCCGCGAGACCAAAACAACTTTTCCAGTGTTCAGTAATAATTATACAGCAATATTTAATTTTATTTTCTGTAATCATTATGGTCTCTGTGGAAGAATATGCGAGAACAAAAAATTGGCACAAATCAACGGTAAGTTCAAGGTACTTTAAACTTGCACTTTGTTACACTAAAATTTAAGGGGCTACTAAACTATGCACTCAAAAATGTGTAAAATTTTGATCAACATTTATAGAAGTTGAAAAGTTTGAAATTTGACTTACATGCTTGTTTAGATAGTCGGTTTTATTTTCATAAAAAAATTAAAAACATTTTTTAAACAAATAAAAGTAGCCAAAACTTGCCAAAATGTCTTTTTCATATTTACATTCTCGCCACCGTATACATATATGTATTGTGTACATTTTTGCGATCATTTTTAAAATTCGTCTCTTTGTTTTGTTTTAAATAAAACTTTATTCAAATATGTTATGTCTTTTTATTCTAAACACAATATTGTAGTATCGGATTCGATGCTTTAGAATTGTACCGATTTTTTGCCACAGAAATCTGGTCACCGTAGTGACAACTAATTAATGAATTTTAAATACTGCCACTTATGTATGTATGTATGTATATTAGATCTCACTCACCCGCTCCGGATTGTCCAAATACGAAACTGTCTGGCTTGAATAGCATGCCCATTGGCGATTGGCGTATAGCATCCATTGTGCCTGGCTCCAAATCGATGAGTACAGCGCGTGGTACATACTTACCACTGCTGGCCTCATTGTAGTACACATCGATGCGTTCCAATTGCAAATCATTTTCACCAACGTACATGCCATTCGGGTCGATGCCGTGCTCATCGGAGATTATCTCCCAGAACTGAAAGAAAATTGCACCCAAAAAAAAAAGGTTAATTATTAGATATGGAAAATTTTGTAAACATTTGCATTTGCACTTAAATATTAATAAGAAATAATTGCTAAATAAAAAGTTCTTGGAAACAAATTAACTCTTCATCGTTGGTGGCATTGAATATGAATTTCAAATGTGTTTGCAAATACTTTTTTAATAATTTGGAATCGCAAATGCGTACATACATAAGTATATAAATATGCAATTATTCGTTTTCTTTTTTTTAGAATAAACTTGCAAACAGTGTGACGCGAATGTGAATATTCAAAAGTTGATTGTTAATTTACAGCTCACTTAACAACAGATGTATAGTGCATTGTTGCATACTTCAGGGCGTACGAAAAAATTTAACACACTCTCGATTAAATAGCTGATTTGCACACTAAAGTCGTAAAAAATTTTAAGCACTCAAATTCGATGCACGAAAAATGCAATTATTGTGCATTCCAAGCGAAAATCATCGAGATCATAAATTTCCATATGTATAGATGTATGTATGTGTCCCATTTACATGTGTATGAATGCACATATGTATGTATGTTGATAAACACATATGTAGTTATGTATGAATGTTTGTCAGCGGACGTGCCCGAATAACTAAATATGCGCGTAATTCGATCGGTGGCAAAATTGTGTTACAGTAAAAACAAAATAAAAAATAAAAACTTAAAACGTTTGGAATAATTATTTTGCGCTGCAGAAATTCATATCCTTGCAAAAATTTCCAAAAAAAAACACATTTCACCTCCTCAGGCATTCATTACAATTTCAAAGTAACAAGCGCTGCAACAAAAGACAAAAAGAAAAACAAACTGAAAACGAAACAAATGCATTGCAAACTAGAATGTACTAGCACAGAAAAAGAAATATTTTCACACAGATCAATGAATTTTAAAACAATTTTCATTTCGCTGTCACAAGCGACAACCGCCGCTCGGTAGGACGGGTTGGGTTTTGAAGCAATTTTGCTGGCAGCATTTACATTCCATTAGCTGCTCGAGCACCCCTCTGCCTCTGCCGCTTTACATATGCTTCTCTCAGGTTATTTGTATACGCGTGGCAACGCTACTACATATGCACGTGTACATACATATATTTAATTTTTCCTCCTTTTTCGCCAGCTGAAATCGCTAAAAATCGGACCTTCATTGGTAATTTTTCTACATTCCACCGGCAAAAAGCATACAATGTGGGTGATGAGTAGGTATGTACGTATGTAAGTGTTGGTGTAACGGTAAGCATTTAATCGCAATAGTTCCTGACATTTGAAATCAATTTTACGTTTCTTGTTTCAATTAGTTTTGTTTTCGTTTTTTATGATTCTTTTTAACTTTTAGTTATGAAATACCAAAATTCCTATTTAGTTGTTGTCTTTTTTGTACATATCATTGCATACAAATGGGCGAATGAGACTATGGCCTTCGCCTTTGCACGTTCGTCCGCAACAATTCGGCCGTGCTTCGGCGCTTTTCGCTAGAATGCTAGCTACATACATACATATCTTTCAAACGACAGCATTCGATTGCAATTGGAATTGTAAGTATTTGTGAGTACGGCATATATGTATGTAAATACATTCCATACAATATTTACACCTCAATTTTTGGGGTGAAATATATTTTTTTACATTATTTATCGAAAAAGAAACCTTATTTTTCGAAAATCTTGAAAAAATTCCCGAAATTTTGAACTTACGGAGGAGTATGTTTTTTTATTCGTGTACAGTTAATAAACTATTTGTAGAAGAAAACCCATTTAAAGTATCAAAATGTGCGTAATTACATCGGCTTTCCATGAGAGAATGACATAGATTAAAATAAAAAAATTTGGATTAAAAAATCGCATTTAAATTTTTAATTTTTTTTTATTAACTTGCTGAGTACAGCTTACTCCATCAAGTTTGAGAACTATTCAGGTTGAAAAAAATAAAAATCAAACATGATAAAGTTAATAAAAAAAAAATAAAAAATGCAATTTTTTAATGGAAACTTTTTTTTCGTTTTAATTTATCTCATGGAAAGCCAAGGTAATTACGCACAATTTGATACCTTAACTGATATTCTCCGACAAATAGTTTATTAACTGCAAACAATTGAAAAAAGATACTTCCCCGTGAGTTCAAAATTTCGGGAATTTTTTTTTCGAGATTTTCGAATATCATGACGAAATAAAAAAATAGGTGTCTTCTTTTTTCGACAAAGAATGCAAAAATATATATTTCACCCAAAAAAAAAAATAATTGAGGTGTAAATATTGTGTGAAATGACCCATATGAACGAATAAATTTATATATATTAGGCCGGGTAATTTTTTTTTCTATGCGCGTATTGCATGGGAGGATTCTGCGTGTAATTGCACAGGTGTTCCAAGCGGAAATAGTCGCAATTTTAAACTGCGCAAAATTAAACCTTGAAGAGGGTTTGAAGGGCGCTTTTCTAATTATCTTTCCAAATAGCCAATCAGCCATCCGGGCTTGTTCAAATAGGACTTTAACCCGGCTAGAGACTGCTTTCACACGCTGCAAATTTTAGAAGCCAAAAATACGGTAACACTGTCGACAGGCCAGGCTCTTCGGCTACCCTTTCAACAGAAAGGATATTATTTGAGAAAATAGAAATGACAGCCTGCTACTTTCTGGGTACCTGGCTGGGCACAATGACGAAATGCTGAATCTGCCGTGCAGATTATGAAACCTGAGAACTTACCGTCACTAGATACGAATAAAGAGGTCATTAAGCAACCTCTGTATATATCGACAGGCCCTGAACGGCACTCACAGGACGTCAGTCTCGAGTTATGTAGACTCTAGACCTGTGAATGCCGTTCTGGGCACACAACCACCGGACATCGGCGAGACGGAGCTTGATCTGCCTCGGGAGACCAGAACTACAATAGCCCAACTTCGCTTTGGCTACTACAGCAGGTTAAACTCATACTTGAGCAGAGTAGACGCAGATGTGCCAAATGAGTGTCCGGCATGCGGAGACATACCCCACGACTCGAAACATCTCTTCGTATGCCGGAAAACCCCCCTAACGTCTTTGCCACCGTGCACCGACCCCATTCAGGCTGCACGCTTCCTGGGGCTTCCGTTAGTGGAGCTTGACGACAACGACTGAGATATTAACCGATCTGGGCGGGGTTGTTGTAGCCGCCACAATAACAACAACAACATGGAATGCAGCACACAAATAAGCCTGTATTTGTCATCTGTGCATATAAGGTTTCATATGTAGCTTCTACAAAAAGCTTGCAGCTGCGAAGTTGTATAGATGACTTATTCTCAGTAAAAAGATTGCAGATTTCTTCGCAGCGTATACTTCCGGACAAAGTGTTGCAAGTAGTATAAGTCTCCATCTTGATTCGTAGGATGGGATACCATTAAGGGTAACATTGGTGACGCTAGTAGGAACCGCATTTAAAGCACCAGTAGGGATGTTGGAGGCGCCAATAGGAACGCTACCACAGTAACCAGTAGGGGTGCCGCTGGTGACGCCAGTAAGAACGCCGGTCGAGGCACAAGTAGGGGTACCTCTATTACATGGACCACAAGCTCAATTAATTCGATTTAACGCAAATTGTGTGATTTTTTTTCTGGATCACTACTATTAATTATGAGTAGAAATCGTAAAAAGGATTCCAGATAATGACTCCATATTCAAGAATACTTCTGATCATAGCTACATTAAGAGAGTTCAAAGTAAAAGGATCTTTGAAGTCACATTGTTCTATCCCTGTTTTCGTTTTATATACGCAAATATGGAACTGGCCATTTGAGCTATGAATATCGTCAGCCATGCGTGACTTCTGGGGCGGACAGTAAGGGATAAAGCCACCAGACTTCTAATTATTTATCTCTCAGTAGCGGAATTTGGTTCGCCTGTATCGCACAAGATGGTACTGGTTTCCATGAAGTAGCCTCTGCAGACATTGGTCCCTTAAGAAATGCCAGCAACCACCCATGTTGCGGTTGTTGGCAGCTAACTGTTCTCCGGCTCATGCCCATTTTAAGCAGGTGGTCCGGTTCCAACTCTTAACAAGAGAAAATAGGCAATGACTACTTCGCTCTCCCACTTGGCTTTTCATTCGTGCGGATAACACCAGGAGATAATACCTCTAAGTTCATACATCAGTTCAGTGGGTTGCAACTTATAAGTAGCGGTGGTGTCAGCTTCTGAGCTCAAATAGCTCTAAATTTTTTTGTTTCTTCGCTTTATTTTTGCGAAAGTCTGAAATGTTATTTTTTAACTTAAAACTAAAAAAAAAACAAAAATGATTTTATAATTCGCTATAAGTATTTCACAATATCAAAATTCCACCGCTTTGAGTTAGAGCAGCAACCAATTTCACCATTTAATCTACATCACTTAGCAATTATCTCGAATTCGGTTATAGTGAAATTTCCATTATTTATTGCTCCAGCAGATACGAGCACGTGTCTTCCGTTGTTTTGTTTTAACTCCGCCAGCGCAAGAATATAAATTTTAAGATTTTCTCCGAATATTTTAATAAATATTTTCAGCATGATTACCGACGCAAGGTGTGTGTGTACCAAGAATTTTAGTCCTGCTTATGTTTTTAACCAATTTCGTGATATTTTTCTTTCATAAAATTGCTGTTGATTTTACGGCAGTATTGCTTTTGTTTTCTGCACTTGTTTGCATCTATTTCGTTTTAGTGAAATCATGTTAATTGTGAGAAAAACGCAAGCTGTCTACACCGCTATGGTTGATTTATTTATTTTTTCAATGGATTGGCTATACACCCGAAGCAAAGCGAAACGATATGGTTCAAGAGATTCGCTCACCTTTTGTTGATGGTTGGAAAATGCCTTGCAGGGCTTAAAAGCCATGCTAAAATTTAAGTGTTCGTAAAATCTGATATTAATACGTGTACATATATACAATATGATTTTTTTTTTTTAGCGAAGAAGCGCCAAACATGTGAATAGATTGAAGGATTTAAAA